CCAGAATGCTACTATAGAATACATTATACTAAGGATTGTAAATGGGTGGTACAAATTCATGTAAATGTCCATTCCATTCCCATTGCATTGACATTCCGGAATGCTACTATAGAATACAATATAGTAAGGACCGTGTATGGTGGTCCACATTTATGTAAATGTCCACTTCATTCCCATAGCCTTGACATTCCGGAATGCTATTATAGAATACTGTATACTAAGGATTGTGAATGGATGGTACACATTCATGTAAATGTCCATTCCATTCCCATTACATTGGCATTCCGGAAGGTAACTTGGGGTGCTACTATATTCCAAAACACTTTTTTCACACAAACTCTTTTTATGGAAAAGTTTAAAATATTCGACTAACCGTATAAGTCTGGTCGGTCCTTATAAAGGTAACCAGTTATGTCAATAAGGTTGGTGTCAACAATTCCCAGGGGTCAGATTAATCAAAGATTGGGGCCATTCAGGCTAGGTCGGTGAAAAAGGGCGCGAAATTATCGCGTGTTTGGCAACCTGCCCAAAGGGTCACGCCCATTGATGCGGTGAACTCCGCTCGTCACGACAATATGCTCTAGACAAGGGGAAAGCCTCGTCGTATTGCTTTGAATTCGCGGAATTTTCGTGATTTCAGGAACACAATGACGAACGAGAGTAGAACGTAAAAGTATTCAAAGTGTTTAATAAGGTAATGAAATATGGACCTATAAGTGGGCCTACTTACAAGAACACTTCTTTGAACCACGCTCATCCCAAGGTTAATTTTGCCTCGTGGGTTATAAGTTCACACTTGTTGAACACGTGCTCGTATAAAATATCCAAGTTCATGATCGTTTATCTAAAGTCAGATGTTTGTACCAATCATAAACATGTTGTTAAATATGGCTGTCGCGTACTTACTGACATCAAAGTGAACACAGCGTCAGTTTAGTCGGTACCTCATGAGGGGTCGTGACAGAGCGCGTTCACAGCGTCAGTTTAGTCGGTACCTCATGAGGGGTCGTGACAGAACGCGTTCAAATTTCGTGTAAACAAACAATTTATTATACACGTGTTGTATGCGTCGCGTGGGTCCCATATCGAACGCGTCGTGACGGTCACCCCTTAACCTTCTCTTTTGTGTGGTTGTGTAAGGAGAAGATACAATTCACAACTGTTAGATTGATGCTACCGAGCCACACCAGGTGTAGAGATCATCTTGGTCCCGCTTGTACGCCTCAAGGCGGTATGGACGATAAGTTTTGCAATCTTTGATGAAGATGCTATAGAAATAAAACAGCCAATTGGCGGTCGTTGACATAAACATAGCTTATCTGCATGTATGTCGCTAAAATATCTTTGTTGCTATAAATGGAATATTTAAATTGACAGGAAATGAAGCTACTTAATTTCGCGCCACTTCTGTCTGTATAGGCTTATCATCCTGGCAAAGTGCCAAGTAGCGATGGCGCGTTTTACGAAATATATGTTGTAGTGTTATAAAAAACAGAAGTGTCCATTGGGTCGAT